GCCCCGCCTCGCCCTGCAGGGCGGTCTGTTCCCGCGCAGCCCAGCACTTGGCCCCTGGCCGCGGGGAGGTGCAGGCTGCTGTGGGGCTCGGCCGGAATGGGGCGCCGCGGCTCAGGCGCCGTGAGCACCCCGCGGCAGTGAGGGTGAACGGCAGCGTTCACACCTGGACACTCGGGAGCGGAACGCTTCGTCAGGGCAAGTTGCCGGAGAGCCAGCGCCCCTGGCTGTTGCTGTGTAAGGTGAAAGCCAGCGGGCCGCTCACAGCGTGCTCGGGCCTCCCCGTAGGCCCGTGCAGCCCCGCAGGCAGGCCGGGGGCGGGGCAGGAGCCTGGGGCAAACGAGGGCCCTCATGACCTCACTGATGCGCTTCCCAGGGGAGGGCGGGTCCCCGCGGGCCACGTTGTCAGGCCCCGGCGCTGACGGGCACGTGTCTGCTCTGTGCGCCCTTCCTTTGTGTCACTGCATCGTGTGAGCAGGGAAGGATGCCCGGCCCGGGCTCCGGGCCACGTCTGTCCCCGTGCCGCCGGCATAGCCCTCCTGGGCTGGGGGCGGGGCACGCCCCGGCTCGCCGCCTGGCAGGGTGCCGCAGCCCTGCCCTGGCACGGGGGCTCCTGGGCGCCCCTGCGCTCATGTCACAGACTGGCGGTGGGAGGGGGAGACCCCTCACTAGGCCCCGCCGAGACGGCCTTGCAGTTACTGGCAGGAGGCGACATCTGTGCTCCGCTAGTGGATCCTTTATTTTCTTTCTATTTTTCTCTCCTGATTTCAGCACTGGAAAATTTGGGGCTTGTTTCATACCAGGACTCTGCAAGCAGAGTGACCTGACCCTGTATGCGTCGCGGCCCGGGCTCCGGCTGTGGAAGGCCGACGTCCACGGCACTGTTCAGGCCACCTTCGTCTTAAAAGACGTCTTTGCGGGAGGAGTCACGCCCTTTGAACTGTACCCCCGCCTGGAGCCCGCCGACGAGGGCGGCTGCAGCCGGCCCGAAAGGCGCCTGGGGCTTGTCTCCTGCTTCTCGCGAGAAGGCTGGGTGCTGAGCTGGAACGAATACAGCATCTTCCTGCTCGACACCGTCCACCAGGTAAGCGAGGCCCGTCTGGGCCCCGGCCGGGCTCCCAGGCCC